TGTTTGCAGACGCGCCGTTGCGAGATCCCTTGAACTGTGTCCCAGTACGGACGTGTCCCTCAGGAGGCGATGTGCAGCCATGGCACGTTCCTGGCCGGCACGTTCCTGGGAAAAGCAGCCGGTGTGTCGCAGGAGATCCCGCGGGATCGCAGTGCAGGCTGGGGGACAGAAGGTCCTGCTTCAATCCGCAGTATTGCCATGATTTATAAACTGCCTCTGATCATCCCTGGGGGTGTCGGGGCTGCCGGGAGCCTCCTGCTCTGCCCCTGCTCAGCGCGGCGGGCGCCTGGCTCCCGCGCAGGGCACGGGGTTTCCTCCTGTGGCAGCCCATCCCGCCGCGAGGCCCGAGCACGCGGGACGTGTCCTCCGCGGCGCCCGGCGCGGCAGACCCCATCCACGTTAAATCAAAGGAGTTTCTTTTTCCCTCTCCCCTTCGCCGCCCTGCGCGCTGCCCACCAAACCACATCCGCCGAGCCTGGCGGAGCAGAAACTAGGCCAGGGCTTCGGGGGATTTTTCCCTCGCCCCAGCGTGCTGCCTTGGTGCCGCTTTGCAGCGTTGGGGCACCCGGCTGGGGTGCTGCTTCCCCCCAGAAAACAGCAGTGGGGGCCGGACTTGGCTCCCCAGCAGTGACACGAAGCTGCCGGGCATTTCAGCTTCCATCCAGGCAGAGGCGAGAGGGGCCTGTGGGCAAAGAGCCCCCGGCTCCCTGCAGCCGGGCTCAGCTCCCAGCTCCCGGGGAGGTTCCCACGTTTGGCGAGGACACAGCGGCGTTATTGTTTTATTTTGCAACCCAAACCGCCCGGGCCGGGAGTTTCTGACGCGCCCGCCGTCCCCGCGGCGAGCGCTTTAGTCACGCCTGGTGCGCAGGCATGTGAGAGCGGGCGCGGGGCAGGGAGTCTCCGGGACTTTGCAAAGATTAAAGATTTATGCTGACCCTCGAGTCTGCTCCCGGGGCCGCTAATCTGCCCTGATCCTATCGCTGGCCTGGCTGGATCCATTTCACTTTCCTGCCCTGCTCTGCCGCCTCCCGCGTGCCCACGCAGGGCCCGCGCGGCCGG